GGTTCTTCAAAACATCATAGGGTTTATCATCCAAAAGAGACTCTTATACATGCTGTTTTCTTACATGCGCCTCTAAATGGAAGTTAACCCATGAAATTTGAAGTCTGCATCTGTCAACAATGTAAACTATGTGCATGAATCAATAGTTGATATTGACAATTGTCAGGGGGTAAAGAGTTTGGTATAGTGGGTAATACTACTAGTCTTCAATTTTGAGGTCTCAGATACGAATTATTTTTGTCAAAAACCAACTAGTCTCACTAACTTGAGTTGTTGATAGAGGTTCATTTATGTATCATATACCATTTACTAATACTTCTCCTCAAACGAAAGCCGACTCATATGTGCTTGGAGTTTGCATCAATGCATATATCATATGCTTAACAAACACACATGGGGACAACGGGATTCGAAAAGAAAACCTTTCAAGTCACAAAAGTCTAAGGGTCTAATACCATATGTTAAGAATCAGTTAGTCTCAATAACTAAAGTTGTTGGAAGAGGTTCAAAAATGGATCATATACCATTTACAACAAGTAGCAGGCTAATATTTAAAACAAATCTATTTCACCCTTATATAAAAAATTTGATGATCGTTATGTAACCTCATAGTGAAAGGGTCTGATACCTTCTAGAGAGCACTTTGATCCCCAATAACTCGAGTTGCTGAGAACCATCAAAAATAATATTTTATACCATTCTATTAAAAAGAATAATAATGTATATAGACTTCAAACTCATGAGTAAAAATACAAGAGAATAAATCATACAAGACAAGATTGTTACTTAATTCAACTACTTGGTAGGAACTGAGATTTAATTGATACTCTTTGTTTCTTGTTTTTGTTGAAGCAGTGAGCCAGAGAGTCCACACTTATTGACATGGGAACAAGAAATTACTCACCGCCAGGCAACAATTAAGTAAACATATTAGGTAAAAGGTTGAAAAACACATGTAAAAGAGGCGATGACTCGTAGTAGAAGTAGAGACATTAGAGAGTTGAATCTGAAAATGTATTTCTATGGTGAATTACTAATTGCACATTCATGTGATTACATTGTATTACATCACTTTGTCCTCGAAATACAGAGCCGGGTTCCCTAATTGTATCACAAAGTTAGACAAATTATTAATCAGAAGCACCGGTTTATCGAAATTCTTCGTCGGAAACAGGCAAGTTATCATAAAACACGCAAACTGGAGTAGTAGCTAGGGTATTGCAGTTTCACGCCGAGGTCATGCTGATGACAACATATACAAGTGGAGAAGGAATCATATTTTGCTTTTGAAACAAAATGGTTAAGTAGGTTAGTGATTCATTAATAAGATTAATGGTTAGGTTAGTTGCCTAAGCTTATATTGAGTGATGGTTGGTAATGGACTTTGACAGTGCAATGTAACACTGTACTTCTAGAGAGGACTCGTGGAAAGCCTTCTGTCTATATCTTTTTTTGTTTTCCTTTCCTTCAATATTTCTAAAACTCAACCATTTGAGCATTTGTGGAGTAGTAAAGTTATCAAAGTTGGTTGACCAACAAAAGTTTCAGGCTTACTTACCTCGTTAATTAGATTGATTAATCAGGCGTGAATCATGAGTATTATTGATTGATCCAATATGATCAAATATTAATCATATTGTTTTGACCAGGCAGAGCCAAGGGGGACACTTCATGATGTTTGGTTCAAATGGTAACGTTTTTTCTTGCACCCCTTCAACTGCAAGCAAAAGAAACCAATATAATGAAAGTCTCCATCTTCTTCTTTTCCATGGAGGGACGGTGGATTCCTTGACTTGCGCGGATTTGGGAGGTTTGTCATCACTTCGGTATTTTGGAATGGTTCTAGTGTTGAGAAGAGGTTTGGTAGACTTACAAAGAAACACATTTCGCCTTAGGTGTGGATATAAGTTCATGGAGACAGATGGACAACCAAATTGCAGGTTGTGCGAGTTATTGGGATGAACTGGTTATTTACATGATATTAGGGTTTTGGTTGAGCGATGTTGAGTTTGAAGTTTGATGACCAATTTTAGGTGCAGTTGAGTTTAAGCATAAGGGTATGGCTAGCTAGTGTAATCTTCAAATACGTGAGTTGGTTTTCATTTCGAGGATGTTTATGAATCTTCTTCAATAGGTGAGTTGTTGAAATTTATTCGTTACATAATGTTGAAGACTTTTATAAGGAAATCTCGTGCTTGAATCCCAAAAAATGATGGGAAAACAATGGGTGGTAGTCTTATGGTAATACCACTAGTATTCAACTTGAAAGTTACAAATTCAAATATCTAAAGTAACACCTAATCACAAAAAAGTAAAATTATATCATACTTTAAAAAATAATGGTTGTAATTATTTTGAGGAACGTGTAGATATGTAGGATTATTAGGATTATACCTGGATTAGAGGATCATCCTAATGCCTAGGCCCAAAGGTGGACGATGATCTTGGGCCGTCAAAATCAACTATAAAACTAGGTCTCAATGGCCAGCCTTAGAAAGCCCAAGAAAGCCCAATTAAGGTTACCAATTTCGAAACCCATGAAATAAATCCAAGGGTAAATACAATTTAATAGCCAAACCTTTTATTCTAAACAAAATAATATCCAAACCTTTTCAAAAACAAATTAATAGCCTAACCGTTAACTTTCCGTCCGGTCAACTGTTAGTTGACTATGACGTGGCAAAATATTAGGTGAGATGGAAGATTTTTTATGATGTGGCAAGATGTCAAATGTTTGACCATGCCACATAGATATTATATAATTTTTTTAATTTAACTTTTACATATATATAGATAAATAATGATAAAAAGGAAGACTTTTGAGTGTCCTTTCTCTAATCAAATCTCCTTCTCTCTGTTATCAAGCTTCTGGTTTCCTTATTCTGGGTTTTCTATTTGGTTACTGGGAATAAGGTGAACGATCAGTGGCCACCTTACTTTGATGGGATTATACTAACATAATGATACACAGGGTCTCGATTAAGTGACCTAATTTTCCATTTTTGACAAAAACAAACCTAAAGAAGAAAACATAGCAGACCTAGGGTAACCGCCTGTTCTTCCATAATCGACGGCGTCGGCTGTGCGAAGCATCTGCTTTCACCGTCTAGGTGTACTGCGTCTGTCCCGGTGTGGCCGCGCCGCCCTCACATCCTGCTTCATGACCTCGCTCGTCTCTTTTGCAATCGTTCAAACACCCGCCATCACAGCCGCTGTGGTTTCGTCGATTCTTTAACCCCAGATCTAGCCACCATCCGACCCAACTCCAGATCTTCAATCGCAGGATAATCATCTACGCCAAGACCACCGCTGCTCTCATTCACCCTCTCTGCTCGTAGTGACGGTTGCTCTCCCCTCGTTCCCTGTTTCTGACCATAACAACTACTTACCTTCTTCCCCTCGTCGCTGTACCCATCCCTCTCCTTCCAACCAGAATAGCTAAGAGCGCTTGACGATTCGCCTGCCTTTGTTCTAGATTAACCAGATTTATTTGATGAGGAGGAGAAGAAGGAGATGGCACCACGAGAGGAGGGAAGTGATTGCGGTGAAAAAAGGAATATGAGGGGGAAAAATCCGTCGTCTCCTTCAGCGCTCCGTCGTCTCGCTCCGTCGTCTCCTCGCCAGCGCTTCGTCTGTCTCCTCGCCAGCGCTCCGACGTTTCCTTCGCCAAAAGCCCCGGCCTGGGAATGCACGACAGGGAGCGACGCTAGCTTTTTCCGGCTTTCACATGACGAGGGACGAAGCCGGCGCCGTTGATTTTGGTTCTGTGGTGGGCGATGGGTTTGGTTTCGCCGGAGGAGGAGAGGGCTTCTTCTTTGAGGGAGGAACTCGAACGGGGAGAATGGGTGGAAGAGAATGAAGAGAGAGAGAGAGTGATTAGATAATGTGTTGATTTTCCCTTTTTTTATTTCATTTTTTCATTAATTTTAATTAAGTGCCACAACAGAAAAAATGTGCCACGTGTACCGTTTCTTTCCACGTCGGAGTCAACTGACGGCTGACCAGACGGAGAGTTGACGATTTGGCTAATAAAATGTTTTCGAAAAGGTTTGGCTATTATTTTGTTTTCGGGTGAAACATGCCCAAAACAAAAGCTCCCAGCAGAAGGTCAAGCACTCAAGCAGTCAAAGCTCAAAGCCTCACAACATGCAAATTATCTCTCCATACGTAAATTACCAAAACACCTAACGCAATAACTTTGGTTCATAAATAATTAAATATGACACCCACAGCCACAAGCGCTGGTCAACGTTTATAAACCCAATTCTTTAAGAAATCAAGGGCTTATATCTCAACTTCCACCTTTTGTGATTGTGAGTAGTCTATTCTGCCAAAAAAACATATATGATCAATTATTTTTCGATTTATCAATCAGATATAGAAGGGATATCTACCAATACAAATCTCTCATTCCACCAAGATTTTGAATGAGTCATAACAGAAGTTGGACATTTTGCTTCCCTTGGAAAATACTCCCAAATTCCATTTTCGTCTCTCTCACACAACATCCAATACTTTCACACCTCCGTAAGCGATTTTGACTCGTGATCTTTTGAATATATTTGATCATCATCTATCATAACAATGTATCAGAAACTCAATCATAGAAACCAAAGGAGAAGTAGCTAGGGGGCGAAAAAGAAAGATTAGCAATGATATTGAGTAATCATACAATCCTCTCATTCCATTGAGCTTTGGAGGGAGAAAATAAGTTGCACCATTTGCTTCCCTAATTACAGGAACATGTTTCCAAGTTCCATTCTCATCTCTCTACGTAACAACAACAACAACAACCTGTTACTAAAACTCAAACCCAATTCATCAACACATCACACCTCTATCAACACTTTTGACTCGCGTGATCTCCTGAATATATATGATAATCACACCAACAGGATAACGAATCAAAAATTCATAAAAAAGGGTTAAAGGAAGAAGAAATAGATGAGCAATGATAATATTGATCATCATTTAAAAAAAAAGAATAATGCACATATCTATCACCTAACCCACAAAGGATCGGTAATAATACAAGTGACGCTCCCCGTCCCGGGAAACACATCCTTATCATGGATATTGTTCTTGCTGTTACTAACCTTCCCGGACTTCCCTAACCTGACATAGAACTCCGTGCACTCGGGCCTAAGCAAGACCTCCCAGGCCCACGGCCAGTGCGAGTACCCGGCCCGAACGTTCATCACAAAGCCCATCCGCATCCTCCCTTTCTCCCGCGCGTCGGTCAACATGTCCTCCGTGTACGGGAACCCGCTGTGCGTGAACTTCCCTCCCCGGTCGCACATCACCGCCTCCATCTCCACCGCCGCCTCGCTCCGCCCGCGGAGCCGCAGCGGCCGGTCCTCCAGCACGCACGACACCGGGATCCCGCGGTACATGAAGATCGCCTCCACGCGCCGGATCGTGATGTTGAGGTGGTCCTTCCGGTTCGAGAACCGGATCGTGCTCCCGTTCACGAACGACAGCCAGGGTTGGGTCGAGTTCGACAGGTCCAGCTCCACGGCCACGGGAGGGATCCGGATCTCCAGGGGACGGGCCACGGGCCCGTACCGCATGTTGATCACGGTGACGATCACGAGGAACGTGACGCACGAGACCATCAGGGCGAGGTAGATCAGGCAGCGGAAGGTCCGGCAGCCTGCCGAACTTCCGCACATTGTTGTGTGAGAGAGAAAATGTTGTTTTATGGAGGAAGGCTAAGACTGCTTGAACGGTATGGCACCGGAGCGCGCAAACGGAAGAGATGTTGGGCGGAGAGATCCGCCCTTTTTCCGTTTGCAAGCCGGTGGCGGGGAGGGGGAGAAATGTTTTTAAAGGGAAGGAGAGGGAGATGGCTTTTTATTTACATTTAAGAGGAGGGAAAATGGGCAGGGGGTTTGAGTTAATTGAGATTGGAGATTTTGAATGGTTGTGATGATCATGATTATCATCATTATTATTAATGGTAATTTGTTTTTTATTTTTATTTTAGCCAAATGATGTTTTTGTTTTCATTTCTTTTTGGAAGAGATGGGGAAAAGGATTGAATTACTACAACCATGCAATTAGTCTAGGTAAGAGTAGTAATCATGCTAAGTTGGCAAATATGTGTAGTTTTTCAAAACTGTTCCAAAGGTATGGAGAGAGGCTTTGGCTAATTTGGAACAAGAAATTGAAACAAGAATAGCCTAAATGAACTGTTAAATCTAAATATAGCTGAATAGGGTGGAAGAAAGGTATCCAATTCCTTATCATCCAATCTGATTCCAGGTTAGTCATTGACTTGATTAAACAACCGCATGACCTCTGCATCCACACGCAAGCATATTGCGCTCCATTCATCGTATTATATCTCAGGATTGGATGGTTTAATTAGTTCATACATATTGCGAGGAGAGTAGAGTCGCAGACTTGATCTCAAAATGTAGTCTCATCTATCACTTTTGTTTGTACGAAGAAGATGATCTCTTCGAATTAGAGAGAATTATCAGGGAGAACATCATTGAAGTCAGCTTCTCTCGGTTAATGATTCGAGAGAGCAATTGATGGGTTGAGAGCCTTTGACCATATCTGTTTGGTGTTGTTTTTGCATTAGTCACTTCAGTCTAGTTCTCTGCTACTTGTTAGATAGCTCGAGTTCCAAAGGCTTTAGCGTCAGTGCTTTTTTCTTGGTTGCCTCGCAACCCCTCTATTTTAATGAGTAATTTCTATTTTTTATCCAAATCTTTTTCAGATTCTTTTATATTATCCAAACCTATTAAAATTCTATTAATTATCCAAATCTTTCATAATGTATCAAAATATTAGCAATTTTTACGTTATCGTTAATAATTTTGTAACTCTTTTCTTAGTTAAAATACTGAAATTTTGGAATGTTAACCTTCATGAGTCTCTTCCAAGTCAGTATCATGTTGCCAAGTCAATATTACTAACAAAATTGCTAACTGAAAGTTAACATTTGGCTAATTCTTAGTATTTCGATAGGTTTGGATAATATAAAAGAATCTGAAAAAATGTTTGGATAAAAAATAGACATTGCCCTAAAAATATTATGTGTAAAAGTTCAAACGAACATATATCTCAACTATATATAAAAAAAAAGTCAAGCAACTACAACAAAGGCCAATGAGAATTGTCATATTTCAGGATTCCAACATGAGTTCTTTCATTCATTAGCTTGAAAAATAACGATATCATCTTCATCCTCAAACTCCTTTTCATAACAAAATGAAACTCACAAAACATAAGCCACAACCTCAAAAGTGATAAAAAAAAATTACCTCTCATACTCATTGGCTTGGACCCCACTTGAAAAATGAATACACATTAGAAATGAAGGATTTGCAAGGTGAAGTTAGTAAGTTCTGAATATGGACCTCCTCTTCCCACGAGAATTATTTTATCACTAAAATAAGCATTGTATTTGATTATGTTTGAGCACCGATAAATTATATTTCTGACTACACCAATGAGATTCACACTGAATTTTTTGCTAATCTAAGGATAAATTACACTAATTATTTTGTTAATGGTTGTTCAAGGGTGAAGTTCATAGTTACAAATTATCATTGTATACCGTTTCTCTTGTAGTGCATATTGTGGACATGCACCCAACTCTATGTATAGTCATAGAGTCATAGAGTCCTATAAACGAAGAAGGTTTCAGGCAACTAGATGATTCCATTAAGAGGAGTAAAAAAGTGAATTATTGTGTATACTAACGCGCATATATATATATATATATATATATATATATATATATGGGAAGTTCTACGGTACCCAGGATGAAATCCGGGGTACCGCATACCTTGAGTAAGAAAACACTATCCAGAACTTGAATTGACTGATCTTTCGGACATGATACTATACTCTAACCCTTAAAGATCAACATCTAGGTCTTAATTCTCTGAATCTTATACCCCAAGATCAATTTAATTAGAAACAATAATCGACGGTTATGATTCGACAAATATAATAAAAAAATCAATGCACCATCTTAGGGTTTATAGTTTACGATTTAGATAATTAGAACCTAGGGTTCACTCATTAACGGTTAGGGTATAGTATCGTGCCCAAAAAACCTGCTAATTCGAAGTCTAGATAGCGTTTTCATACTCAAGGTATGCGGTACCCCGGATTTCACCCTGGGTACCATAGACTGCACCATATATGTATATATATATATGTAAAAAAGAATACTAACATTATTACTTACAAAAATAATCCTGATTCAACTCTCAAAAGGTTAACCTTGGGACCAAAATTTCATAATTTGGCTTCTAATCAAACCTGAAGAATGGGAGATTTCTCCTTTTGATCCTCCCCATCAATACAGTTATCAGTACTAGTACTACAACCACTATTCGTTACAGCAATATTCCTCACTGCCTCATCTTCACAACCCAACATCACTTGCTGCCGTGGGCTTACACCATTCTCTTCCACACCCACTGCTGCAGCTGCCGGCCTATTTCCTCCGGCGGCAGTCGTCGTCACTGCAGCCACCGCCATCTGATCCACCGTCGTCCTCTTCCTCTCACTCACCACATCCCAAAGAAAATCAATCAGAACCCGCTCGTAGCCGGGCATCTTTGCGTACCCGGGGAAATAATTGATATCGATAACTAAATACTTATTCTCTCTCGTCGAATCCCTAATTACATCAAAGTTAAACAGATGCAGCTTCGTCGCGGACCTGAGACCTCTGGCGAGGTCCACGACGAAGCTCTGGGGTGGCATCTCCGTCCCATCCAGCTGCATCACCTTGTAGTAGTCGTACTTATTATCGTCGTCGTCGTCATCGTCATTGTTCCTCTGTGGCGTCGTGATGTTGGACACCTGAGAAAACGGCATCGAGCTCTCCGAGCTGATGCTCCCCGGGATCACGTCGGGGAGGGACTTCCGCTTCACGCACTGAACGTAATCGCCCACCACGTAGACTTTGAAGATCACACCGCCGTGGTTGACGAACTCTTGAAGAACGATGGGGGGTTTGAGCTTGTCGAGTCCGTCGTGGTTGAAGATTAGGGACATCTTGTGGGATTTGGCACTACCGTCGGCGATCAGTGGCTTGGCAATCACCGGGAACTTGAGCAGGTCCCATGATCGGCTGTCGGAGAGGGTCTCCTTGTCGTAGATCACAATCTGTTTCGGGATTCCGAATCTGGCCGCTGGTGAGACTGCGGTGGAGTTTGTTTTGAGCTCCGAGACCACCTGTTACACGAATTCTAAAGAGATTAGCATTACCATTCTTTGGAATGATTACATCCAATTCACCTTAACTTGAACATTCAGTCAATTAGATTATTAGCTTAATAGTAACCAAACACCTGATCCATCCCGAACTCCGAACAATCGACTATAACATCCAATTCATTCTGAATAAGATTTGCTCAGCATCATAATGGAGTTAGCCTCGCATGATAACATTTGATCCACCTAACATTCAAACATTGATTTGGCTGTTCGGGGTAGTCCGACATTTAACAGTAGCATTCAACCCATCTTGAATTCAAACCTTTAACACGAAATCGCAACAAGGTAAGCTTAACAATGATGGTAAACCGTTGCATACTATTCACCCTGAGTTTGAACATCAGGCCACCATTACTACGAGATTAACGAAACTGCAATAGAACACCACAATCTAGTTCATCTTAAATTTGAACATTCGGCCAACACCATTACACGATTAGCTCTAGCAATAACAGGGCATACATTTCAATCCATCATGAATTCCAGCATTTGCCTAATATCACTACAAAGACAGCTTAATGATAACATTCAAATTCCACTTGAATTCCAACATTAGGTCATACATCACTACACAAATACACCTACCATTACAATTCACCCTGAATTCGAACATCAGGCCACCATTGCAACGAGATTAACGAAACAGCAATAGAACACCACAATCTAGTTCATCTTAAACTTGAAGGTTCGCCCCCACACCATTCCACGATTAGCTCTAACCATAACAAGGCGTACATTTCAATCCATCCTGGATTCGAACATCAGGCCACCATTACTATGAGATAAACGCAACACTAATAGAACATCACAATCTAGTTCATCTTAAATTTGAACATTCGGCCAACACCATTACACAATTAGCTCTAACCATAACAAGGCATACATTTCAATCCATCCTGAATTCGAGCATTTGCCTAATATCACTACGGAGACAGCTTAACGATAACATTCAAATTCCACCCTGAATTCCAACATTCGGCCACACATCACTACATAAATACACCTATCTAGCAATACACCGACGACAGAAACGACGACGTGAATTCGTACCTGGAGCATGGAGATGCGGTTGTGGAGGCGGGAGATGGATTCGGGGGAGTCGATAACGGTGGCATCGGGGTAGTAGCGGCGGAAATCGTCGAGCTGGCGTGACCAATCGTCGCCGTAGAGCTTGTGGAGGAGGCAATCGAAGGGGCCCTGGTCGATTAGAGGGCGGCGGAGGTCGATCGGGACGAGGTCGATGCCGCGATCCCGGCAGAGGGAGACGAGGGAGTCCTGGATGAAGCTCTGCTGCTTCTTCGGTAGCAATGCGTATCCCACTCTGTACCGCCTCGAGTCCGCCATGGATTTGGAGGAAAGCTTGGACAGAGAGGGAGAAGGGAGGGAATTGGGGGCCGATTGGAGAAGATGGAGGAGAGCGATTTTTCGGTGAAGAGAAAAGTTCGCAGAAAGGGGTTTTTTTCTTTTCTTGGGAGAGTGAGAAAAATAAAATAAAAATTGCTACGTGGCGGGTAGAAACTTTTCGAATCCTTCTTCTATTTCAGTTTCTTTCTTCAGTCATTATGTCTAGAGGCTAATAGCACTTTTAGTGCATATACTATTTTGGTTTTAAGAAACAAGTGCATCTACTACGATTTCTTACGTAATGAGGAGTTTGGGACCAAGTGTGCATAGATTGAAAACATAAGGGACTAAGTTCGTCTAGGACGCAGGATTTAGGATCAAATGAGAGATTGATCATGGTGATGAGTGATGAGATGACGATAACTCAAAATAATTCAAATGGTTTATCGCCAACAGCCGCCGGAATTTTAGAAGTCGTTCATGCACACATAATCATCTTAATTAAAACTAAAATTAGGATGTGTACGGTGGTACTCATGATATCAACAAAAAGAAAGTCAACTACAAAGAAAAGTTTTAAGTTTTGTTTTTTTTTTTTCATTTGGAAAGAAGAAGAATGCCCACCACCATGAGGCTAATCAAACTCACCATCATGTTAAAGGACTTATACTCTATATTATTAAGCCAATATGCAGGTAAATATAACTATACAAGTTGTGCAAATCATAGAAGTTTCGATCTTGAAACGAATATGCAATTCTATGGATAAGAAATTTATTTAATATTAGTGTATATCCTTACAATGGATTGAATTGTTATTATCGTGACATCGTATTTTTTTTTATAGATTTGTAATTTCACATATATGTTAAAATGAGTAGTTTACTTTCAAAAAAGGAATCAAAGTTGTACATTGTATAGTCAAGTTGTCAGTGTTCAACCTAGCGAAACGACTTGAACATTTATACATGACTTAATCAATTATACGGATGTATGATACAATATTGTATTCTAAACCAATAATTAAAGATTAACTTTAAATTATACATAAGTTGGAAATGTTCAATATATTTGAATGTTGAAGTCATTATCATCTGGATGCAAAATTGGTTTTAGGCCCAAAGCCCATAGATTCAGAGAATTCAACACAACAACAAGGCGGTTTTCTCATTTTCGCCGATGGATCGGATTAATTGTATTGGCCAATTGGTCAAATCCTTTGATAAGTCCAACCCTAATGCCTGGTTTAATGTCTAATTGTCTATGCTAATTAATGCTTGCAGGACTGCTGGCGGTTGCGGTTAATCTATATAATCCGAGTTTATTTAATTTCTTCTTGCTAGAGCTAGTAGCCTTTATTTATGAATTAATTATTGGACAATGCTAATTAATTATCGTTTGTTTTCTTCTAGTGAACTTTCTCGTTAAGCTATAAACAGCACGGCCACCTTCATTTTTCATAGCAGCCAGCCATGGGAAATGCCGGCGAACTATTAGCGAGAGAAAAAAAAAAGCTGTGAATGCAAATATAACAAGTAAACAATAAACGATTCAACTATAAGTTTTAATTTGTTGTTGTTTACTTATCTATATTGCTTGCCTATAAGACATAAAATTATCTTGGTGTAATCTGAACTAAACTTTGAATTCTTCTGGTAATCCTTGTTATTTCGTTAACAATCACGGAAACAAGGAGGTTCCCAGCTTGGTAATGATATATAATAAATAGTCTCATTCTCATCCATTTGTCATGAAATATAATGTATGATACAATGTTTGGACGTTCAATTTTCTCGTGTTTATTGTAAAAGTTATTTTTTATTTAACCACTAGAACGATGGCGGAGAAAGATTAAAACTGGGGGTTCACCTGCTTGAGTGCTTTGGGCCCTCCACTAAGATTCTTTTTTTGTGCCTCCAAAAACACCATAACTGACTTCAAATTGGGTCGAACACAAGAGCTCACACGTTTCGATCAAGGGTCTCTCAAAAGTTCTACCAGTTGAGCTATGTACTCAGTACTCTATTGAAGGCCCCAAAGGACTCAAGATTTTATTAATCATCAACAGGGTTACCATTTAATAAACCAAAAAAAAATGAAGGATCATGAGTCATGACTCACAGTTACTCTTTTCCATGTGGTATAACATGCATCACCTACAAAAATGCATTCAATCAAACGCTCAATTAATCTTTATAAAAGAAACACTCAATTAACCAATATTTCAAGACTAAAATAAAATCTAGCCATGCTATTATTATTATTATTATTATTATTATTATTGTCGTATTGATATACATATGCATGGGACTTGGGAGTAGGGATGTCAATCCAACCCGTAACCATGGGTACCCTATCCGACCGTAACCGGTCAACGAGGGTAATTACCCGCTTTGACGGATTAAGGGGCGGGTACGGGTAATACCCAGTTTCAAAATAAAGGGTAGGGTACTGGTATGGTAATCGATAATACCCGCCCGTTATACGCGCCCCGCTAACCAAAAGATCAATTTCCCTTGAGAAATTTATTTTAGCTTGAGAAATTGAGTTTAGCTACCATTATTGATGATGAAGATGTAGACGATTATTATGTTTGTGTGGATTGTAGAAGCAAGAACAATTATTATGTGTTTGCTATTTTTATTTGTGTGGATTGTTGAAGCTAGAACAATTACAAGTATTGAGAATTTTTAATGGACAAGAGTATGTATGTGCATATATGTGTATAAGTTCATAGTTTAAGATTCGTACCCATGGTTACCCGAATACCCGTGGTTACCCGGTGGGTAGGGTATGGTTATATAATTTTCACACCAGGTGGTTATTTGGTCGGGTATTTTAGAAAGCTCTACCCGGCGAGTTAGGAGTTGGTATACGGTCACTGGCGGAGCTAGGTGAGGGGTTGTGGGGTCCATGGACCCCACTTGGAAAATGAACATACATTAAAAATGGTGGATTTTTAAGGTGGAGTTAATAAATTTAGAACCACGGACCCCCTTTTTTCGAGACAATGATTTTACTATCGAGACAAACTTTTGTATGTGGTTATGTTTGGACCCCACTAAATTATATATCTGGCTACGCCAATGTATACGGTAAACTCGCACCCGACCTTACCCATTGCCATCCCTACTTGGGAGCAAAGAAATCCGGAACTAAATCTAATATCCATAATTTTAATCATTCCCTCATTATTTTGAACAATTATTTTGATTAATTCGATATTTTCATCGAACATTATAGAATAAATAATTACTGGGTGTCGGCGGCAAGAACAGCTGGCCAACTGGGTCTAATCTCGGGATAGCAGACAACCAATGTGGAAGCATATGGGCCTTCAGCAGCAAATTTAGCTCCATATATTTCCACGTCGGCCCATTTTATTTTTCACGTCTCTCCCAACAAAAACCTTATCCAAATAATTGCACTGAGACAGATAATGCCACTTTCTTTGTCCCCTTCTCTAGATTGACTTTTTCTTTTCTCTTCATTGCTCGACAGATGTAGTTTTCCAAAAGATAACTCGACAGGTGGCGTCCGTTTAGACGGTAGGAAATGGTAATTCCTTCTTTATGTTAATTAGATCCGGACTAGGACGACGGCAAATGAGATGGAGCTATTCCAGCTCGAAAATCGGCTCGAATTTTTTTTGTTTCGAAATTCGATTTGTTTACTAAGACTTGTCGAGCTTGAAAGGCTTGTGAGGTAGTTCAGTTTGATGACGTGTTGAGCTGAACTTATGAGCTGGCTCATTTTGAGCTCATGAAATGAACATCAACGCCTTAACCATAAACGCCTTTTCCCCACCGAAAATAGGTAGGGAGAAAAAGAAATATCATGCTATCTAATCCTATCTAATACGTAAGTACATTAAGACGAAGTTTGTCGTTACCTTTCTCCAAAATTAGGCTAAACTCTTGATCATTTTATAACTATAAAGAATACACAACCTCATCAATCATGGTTGGTATTCTCTATAATTGGCAATGAGCATAAGACACATCCTTGTCCAAAACCACCAGCATATTTACCATTCTGTCATCCTCGTAATAGCAAACTAGTAGAAATTGACAAAACCTAATTATTAGTGTATTGGGAAGGGAAATGAAGGCACTGATATTTATTCATAAGTATAGACAGCCAACGTGTTGTTGTTCTGTTCGTCATCAAACAAAATTTAAATTAAGAAACCCCATAAGAAGAAGAAGAAGAAGAAATCGGCGGTTCATGTCGTAAGAGGCTTCTGTACAACGAAAAGAAACCATCCCCAGCATAACTAGAATAACGATCTGTACATGATGAACGGCAGTTCTTTTTCATTTGGAAGTATTACTGAGGAATGGGAAACAGAACAAGCAGAGCCTTAACCACAGACCTTTCTTCTCCTCGGGAGCCAGCAATTTCGCGTCCCGGCTAGCAACGAGGTCGGCCATGTACTGCACAACAGCCTGCAGAGAAGATAGAAAACCAGATTGAAGAAATGTAGTTAGAAATGATGACCCTAATCATAAGATCACTAAAAGTTTCAATACATATGGTAAAATGGTGATTTTAGAGACCGAATGAAATCGTTGATAGCGAAGCAGTGTACGATTCGATCAGTCGAGTTAGACCCAGAACAAGTACCTGAGCTCCCAATTTGCATACTTCTCTAGGGGGGACTTCAAGAGGTGTTTCATTAGCATGAAAGACTCTCAATTTCGACAGGAACCTGAAGGAATCGGGCAACACCCTTATTTGATCATCGCTTATATCCAACTCCTCGAGCATCTCCAAGTTTCCAATCGATCTGGGCAGGGCTCTCAAATCCGCAAAGTTCTTCCCTACATTGATCTTCTTCAGCTGCACAGCGAAACACAGGCTCTCGGGCAGATACTCGAGCTCGTTAAAGCTCACATCTATCTCCTTCAGATTCAACAGGTTCCCCATTGTGGTAGGCAAGCTCTTGACCCTGTTGTAGTGCAGAGTCAGAACTTCCAAGCATTCAAGCTTGCCAACTGCCTCGGGGAGAGCTTTCAGGTTGTTGAAGTCTAATCTCAGCTCGGTGAGAGACGAGCAGTTTCCGATTGTGTAAGGGAGCTCCTCGAGCTCGTTGGTCTCGGCGATGAGCGTCTTGAGCTTTGTGAGGTCGCCAATGGTGTCTGGCAATGAAATGAAGTGATTCGAGCTCAAGTCCAAGTTGACCATGTTCTTGAGGTTGCCGATTGAAGTTGGGAGCGACTTGAGGTTGTTAGCGTGGAGGTCGAGGTCGGTTAGATTGATCAGCTCCCCGAATGAGTCCGGTAAATTCATCAGCTGGTTCGAGTGCAGATCGAGCTTGGTTACTGATTTGAGGTTGGAGATGGATGGCGGGAGTGCAATGATTTTGTTCTCGGATAAGTCGAGCTCAGTGGTGGATGATAGTTTGCCGATTGAGGTTGGAAGCCACTCGATTTGATCCATCAATTTGCCCCTGAGATCGATTGTTTCAGCTCCTGATTTTGCAGAGTTCTCTATCATTGCTGCCACTTTCAGCAGGCTTAGTTTCTCGTTGGAATTCACTTCACCTGCAAATCAGTGAGACAAAAACACAAACAGTTGGCATGCATCAAACTCTACACGAAATTTTCGACCCCATAAAAATGAAATCTGAAACCCAAGCTTCCCACAAGACAAGAAATCGAAACTCCGGGGGGGGGGGGGGGGGGGGGGGGGGGGGGGGAAACAACCCACCTGAGAAGAAAGCAGCCCTAGTGGAAGAGCTTCTACCCAAGGCCTTGAGCTCATCAGTACCCAGTTCACCACCAGCCTCAACCAATTTCTCCGTCACAAGGCCAGTTTCCTTGGCAATTTTGGCAACTGGGTCGTCGAATCCGGTCGATTTCTCCACCTGGGAATCGCCAGAGACAAGCAAAGAAGCTCGCTGGATCAACCCACCGAGCATCTCGAACATCTCGTCGAGTTCCACCAACCGAGCCGCCTCTCTGCTCTGCTCACGGCACTGGTGAACAGCCACCGTCCTCCTCACTTGCTGCAGCAGCGCGAAGAGCTCCTCTGGCACATCTGGCGGGCGCTGGTGTTTGGAGATTTCTTCTAGCTTCGCCTGCTCTTCGTTTTGGATGGACTTGACCACGGCGACGGCGGCCTCCACTTCGTCGATAGAAGGCCTCGGCGGGAGGGATCGGTAAAGCCTCATGATTTCGGCGACTGTATCCACGAAGGCGGGCGACGGAGCTGCTGGCCCGCCGCCATCGTTGGATTTCACGGCCATGGCTGCTGCCTGGGAGAAAAGATCAGAGTGAGTGGAAGACAGGGAGAGAGAGAAAGGAAGGACAGAGCTGTTTTGGTTGACGGAGGAAAGGAGCAAGGTGGTTTCATTTTATCTTTTTTCCCTGAAAAGAGATGACAGCTGATTGCTTCGTTGTTATTATTTTAGCATGAAATTGTTTGTTTATTTATTTAATTGAGAACCTTGTTTACAGTTTAATTTTTATTTTTATCCTACTTGTTTGTATTCTTGAAACCGGCATTTAGGTACAAGGAAAAAAAGAAACCGGCATTAGGTAGGTCTACATTTTCAGTCATATATACTATGGTATTTTATCCAATACATCACTGTATCATGAGTTTTAACAAACTAGCATTTGTAGTTCCTATGTTACACACTTTGTCCAGAATCGTGGAGTTAGACTATAATTAAAGGGGATTGCTATTCGTCGCCCTAAAATTTAAATTATTGCGCCCTAAACCGTACTAAATTAACATTTTTAACCCTTTACCCTATTTCAATCAGTATCTGTAACTTGGATTGCCGTTGTCGTTTTCGCCATCCGTCACCGCTACCATTCCCCACCCCGCCGACCTGCTGTCATTCGACCATCTAACTTTTTTTGGTGTGATTACTTGTACGCATTCTGTATTGTACACCGCTGAAGCGTTTCACCATCTATACATGCTCATTTTCCATGGCGCCCCCTCTTGGAGAAATTCCCCTGCCAGTTTCCTCCTTCCTCGTTCTACTTTTAACTCGATTCGTTCCGGCCATCGACTCATCAATCGATACCTTTCGTGCAGGGATTTCCCCTTTACTGTTCTTTTTTTTTATTTTGGCAATTTTTTACATTGGCGTGCAGTCCCCAAATCCTCAAACAGCTCCGCCATTGCTCCCTGATCAACAATGTTGGGAGAAACGGGTCTACTTGTTTTATTTCATCAAAGTTAATTTTACACTGTTCGTTTATACAATATATACCAGCTGTAAATAAAGAAATAACAAAATAATACATAAATATAAACAAACATTACAATATGGTCCTTAAACTAATTCTAGTTTACAATATAGTCCAACACCCCCCCTCAAGCTGGAGCATGGATATCAAGAGTGCCCAGCTTGGACTGCAAAACAGAAAACACTGCAGTAGGCAAAGACTTTGTAAACAGATCAGCAACCTGGTTAGCAGTCGAAATATGCAGCACTTTTATGAGACCAGCAGCTATCTTATCACGAGTTAAATGACAGTCTAACTCTATGTGTTTGGTGCGCTCATGTGCAACAGGATTTTCAGCAATACGAATAGCAGATTGACTATCAGAATACAGAATACTAGGGGTAGGAAAAGTAACACCCAAAGCAGCAAACACATAATGCAACCATTGAACTTCACAAGTCAGGTCTGCCATAGCCCTATACTCAGCCTCAGTAGAGGACCGAGAGATTGTTTTCTGTTTCTTGGAACGCCAAGCAATTAAAGATTTACCCAAAAACACGCAGAAACCTGTTGTGGAACGGCGGGAATCAGGACAGCCAGCCCAATCGCTATCTGAAAAAGCCTTGAGAGTCAATTCTGAGTTACTAGGGAAAAACAAACCAAGACCTGGATTACCTTTCAAATAATGAAGAATGCGATAAGCTGCTTGTAAATGTACATCAGTGGGTGCACTCATGAATTGAGTCAACTGATGTACAGCAAATGCTATGTCAGGACGCGTATTACATAAGTACAATAAACGCCCTACCAAACGGCGATAAACAGAAGCATCATCGAGTAAAACACCAGTCTTACTAGACAACCTTACTCCTGGATTACAAGGTGTACTAACTGGTTTGGCAGCTAACAATCCAGAGTCAGACAAAAGATCCAGAACATACTTTCTTTGGCAAATAGAAATACCAGTAGACTTACGCGCAATTTCCAAACCAAGAAAGTATTTAACATGTCCTAGGTCCTTTATTTTAAATGCAGCATCTAATCCTTTCTTAAGATTCTCAATTTCAGACAAGTAATCACCAGCCAATATTATATCGTCTACATAAACAAGCAAAGCAAGAAACTGTCCATCCTTGTGTTTAGTAAACAGAGAGTAATCAGCCTTTGATTGTTGATAACCAGCATTCAAAAGGAACTCAGTTAACTTATGATTCCACTGCCTACTAGCTTGTTTTAGGCCATAAAGAGATTTGTTCAGTTTGCATACAACATCACCAGAATTAGGAGGAAGTTTTAAACCTAGAGGAACTTTCATATACACATCCTCATCTAATTCACCATGCAAAAAAGCATTATTAACATCTAATTGATGCAAATGCCACCCTTTAATGGAAGCTAAAGCAAGCAAAGCCCTAACAGTTGTTAACTTGGCAACAGGTGAAAAAGTATCTAAATAGTCTATTCCTTCAGTTTGCGTATACCCTTTAGCAACTAATCGAGCTTTAAACCGCTCAATAGTTCCATCCGGGTGGAATTTTACCTTGAAAACCCATTTGTTCCCAATGGGTTTGATACCTGGAGGCCGTAAGACAATTGTCCATGTATTGGTTCGGATGAGTGCATCCAACTCTGTATTAACAGCAGCATTCCAGCGTTCATCCTTGGCTGCCTCATGATAACTAGTAGGTTCTGAAATGGAACTTCCTGCATTAACAAAACTAGAATGTCCATTAGCCAGGTTAGTATCAGAAATAACTGAGGATAACGGATATGGAATAGAAGAATGAACAGCAGAATTACAGACATAGTCCTGCAAACGGGCAGGTCTGTGTCTATTCCTAATTGGACGACCTGCTGGTTCATTTTCAAAAACAGGAGGATACTCAGGAGGTGGGGCTCCATCATCCTCATCAGAAACAGCAGGAGTTGGAACTCTGAAATGTTGGTCGGGGTTTGATAAATGGACTAAACCATCCACTGTGTTGGCACCATGAGGTGTAACTGCAGCAGATGGATGAACTTGAATGACAGGAAAAGCAAACTCAACCGAATCCAGTTGATGACTCTTAGAAAAGAAAGGAAAAATAGACTCATGGAAAACTACATCCCGAGATTCAAACACAGAATTGGTAGCAAGGTTATAAAGCTTGTAACCTTTTGTGGCAAAAGGAAACCCTAAGAAAACACAAGGATCTGCTCTTGGTTCAAACTTAGGTCGATTATGAGACAATGTAGATGCATAAGCCAAGCAACCAAACACACGGAAACCACTATAGTCAGGTACAGAATTGTGAAGCAGTTCATAAGGAGATTTATTACCTAAGACTGGACTAGGGATACGATTAATAAAAAAGGTTGCATGTAAGACAGCATGACCCCCAAAACTTAGAATGAAGGGAGGACTGAAACATGAGGGCACGAGCAACAGCAAAGATGTGCTGCTGCTTGCGCTCTACCCGACCATTTTGCTGTGAAGACTCGACACAAGTAGTCTGATGAACAATTCCTAAAGAATCAAAAAATGCACGCATCTGAAACTCTTGACCATTGTCTGACCTAAGCACTTTGACTCTCATATTATACTGATTTTGAATATGAGCAACAAAATTCTGAATTAAAGGTCTAGCTTCAGACTTCTTATGCATAAGATAAACCCATGTGTTACGAGAATAGTCATCTACGATAGTTAAGAAATAACGATGACCATCAATAGTAGGAACACTGTAAGGACCCCAAATATCAGTATGCACTAAATCAAACAAATGCTCAGCTTGGGACTCACTTACCATAAAGGGAAGACGTCTCTGTTTTGCCAGTGGACAAACAGAACAATGTTTTGTACACTTTGAATCAATCCCACTTATTCTAGAAGATAAAGTTTGTAAACGAGACAAAGATACATGACCTAGGCGAAAATGCCAAAGATCAAAATCATGAACAGTCTTATCAAACAATACTGAAAATGCAGAAGAATCTGGACATGATGAAGATATTGGTAGAGGCAGAGGAGCTGAGTTGTGTACTTTTGCTGAAAAACAGTAAAGTCCACTGCTCTCTCTAGCTATACCAATCATCTTCCGGGAGGCCAGATCCTGTAGCAGGCAATGATCATTAAAAAATGTCACAGAACAGGACGAATCCTTGCTTAATTTGCTTACAGAGATCAGATTAAAACCAAATTGTGGAATTAATAGAACTTTCTTGAGAATTAATTGATCATTCAACCTAACTGACCCTACGTGTGTAACTGGCACTTTAGAACCATTTGGTAAAGACACAAAAACATCACACACAGCAGTAGGTGATTGCAAATAAGCAATATCAGACACCACATGATCAGAAGCTCCACTATCCAAGATCCACCTAGAAGGATTGGCAACCATAGAGTTGGCAAGAAGAGCAAACTTACCTCCATCCTGGCTTGAAGAAGCAGCTGATGAAGAAGCCAGGAAAGACTGCTCGACACAAACTCCAGCAGTGATGGAATTCACAGTAGGAGCTGAAGATGGCAGAGCCTGAGACTGACTCTGAGCAAACAAAGCTCTATACTGAGCCTGTGTCAACACAATAGAATCGGAAGGAGCACTTCCGTTCTCACTAGAACCACTGTTAGTATCAACAGACTCACTAATCACAGCATTGACCCTAGAACGTGGCTTATATCCTGGTGGATAACCATGTTTCTTGTAACAGCGATCAATAGTGTGACCAGTTAAACCACAAAACGTGCAGACAGGCCTTTTAGACTGGTTGTTGCCTCTATGAGGACCAGACTGTACAGCACAGGCCATAGGATTGACAGAATTAGGGTTTGGAATCTTAATCTGACGCTCATGTTGGGCTATCATAGAGAAGACCTTGTTAATGGGAGGGAGAGGATCCATCAACAGAATCGAACACCTAACAGACTCAAAATCCTCAGTCAACCCTCTCAAAAACCTAATCACTTGATCTACTCTCATGTACTCAGCACAAGAACAACGAGGAACACATGCACAAGATCGCACAGGACGGTAGGTCATCAACTCGTCCCAAAGAACCCTAAACTTGGTGAAGAACGCACTTACAGACAGATTTCCCTGCTTCAGCCCGTAGATCTCATCCTGAAGATCAGCGATGCGAACCAGATCCGCGATGCTAAAGCGCTCCTGGAGATCACGCCAAAACTCGACCGCAGTGTTGAGCCAGAGAACGCTCTGTGCAATCTC